CGCCAAGCAGGCGCTGTCGCAGGCGCAGAAGTCCATCGATCGCGTGCTGGACATCCAGGCCGAGGAGAGCCCCTGGCCCGACGCCGTCATCCCCGACTACGGCGACGGTAAGCGCTGCCCGTGCCCCAGCGCCGAGCTCGGACACCCAGACCCCTCGCCCTCCTCCTCCTCCGCATCCTTAGCCTTCCCTCTAACCTCCTCCTCGCCTTGTCCTTCTTCTCCACACCCTTAGCCTCCCCCCATCCTCCTCCTCCTGCTCCTCTAACCCTCTTCCTCCTCTTCCTTCTCTGCACCCTTAGTCTCCCCCTTAACCTCCTCCTCCCCTCGTCCTCCTCCTCCACACCCTTAACCTCCCCCCTAACCACCTCCTCCTCCTCCTCCTCCTCCTTCTTCTCTGCACCCTTAGCCTCCCCCCTAGCCTCCCTTTTCTCCTTTTCTGCACCCTTATCCTCTCCCCTAACCTCCTCCTTCTCGTTCTTCTCCTCCTTCTCCTCCTCTGCACCCTTAGCCTCCCCCCAACCTCCTCCTCCCCTCGTCCTCCTTCTCCCCAACCCTTAGCCTACCCCTAACCTCCTCCTCCTCATCATCCTCCCCTCTAACCCCTGCGGGGTCAGGGCTGGGGAGGTTTAACCAGCTTGTCCCCATCCCCTCGGGATCCCCCTTGGTACCCCTTGTCCCCCAGCTCAGGCAGAGGTGACACTGCACAGCTCAGCACTGCCCTGCTCTTGTCACCAGTGTCCTGCTGTTCCTGCACCTCTGTGTCTCAGGGTGTTGTTTATTTTACTGAGGGGCTGGTAAGTGATGCAAACTGCTCTGTAATTCAGATGTTATGCGTGGATTCACCCTCTGTGGCAGGAAGAGCAGAGAAGGGCCTGAAAGTGTGTTCCATGTAAACCAAGTGGAGTTCCCACTTCTCATGGCTTCCCAGTTCATAATTCTCCAGCACCTGCTGAAGGGAATGTGTTGATGGAAAAGTTGTCATGGCTAGGAGGAAGTGTCTTCCTTCTACGTGTGCTAATGGAGAACCTGGAGGAATGGTTTGTCCCAAGCTGTTTGTAAATGAGAGAGCAAAAATGAGCCCTCTTATTTGAAGCTTTTTTTAGCCCCATAAATAATATCTTAAGAATGAATAAAGAAAAGGATGTGGCACCAAGGCATCTGGAATCAGTGTCTTTATTCCAGCTACATCTAGAAGAGATGTGCGTATTTGGGCTAGGAGTTATTTCCAGTTGAACCCACAGCAGGGTGAGATGTCTGAAAACTGAAAGCTGTAGCAATTGAAAGTGTTTTCTAGGTTGATTGCCCAGCTGAGGATAAGGTTGGGTTTGCATGTCTTTCTCTCTTTGTGGGCTTGGCAGTCACTTAAGTACTCCTGTCTCATCTTAAATTACAGGAATTGTTTATAGAAAACTGTCTTAATTTATTAAAATTTGAAACTTATCCAAACGTTTTTTATTTTAATTTCCATCTCAGTCTTTATAATAGTTCTGTAATTCTTAAGGAAAGCAGCAAAGATCAACCTGTTTTTAAAAGATGTCAAAATGTGTTCTGAATGTTAGAGTTCACTCAGCTTTTTCTGCAGCTATTGAGTCATGGGCAAGGTAGTAATAAATCAAGTGTTTTTAGTAATGAATCAGATGTTTGTGGTATTTTTGGCAATGAGAGCAATAGTTATCTGAATCTGAGATTTGAGGCCCACAGCTGTCAATAGTTTCTGAAAGTGGAATTCAGCTTTAAATGTTATAACAGCATTTTGTAGTAGATGCTGCTGTATAAACTGTTTGGGTTTAAGTAGCCTGAAATCGTTGTGTTATCCAGATTATGTTTGTAGGTACAAAATCAAATTGGATGTGATACTTTTATTTCTCTTTCTCGCTTGGGATGATACTGAAATTTGATCCTTGCTGTTGACAAGTCCTGGAAAACTTAAAAGGAACACAATAATAGGAGTTGTTGATGTTGTTTTGGGGTAGCTTCAGAAGTAAACAGTTCAGTATTTTGCCACAGGAGGAGAGGAAAACTCTCAGCTGAGCTGTGACAATGTATATTGTCAGCTCCATGCTGATGCTTGGTGTGTGAGGAAAAATCTGAAGCCTGTCAAACTGAAAGGGCAAGAACTCTTCTTAGAGTAAATCCTGCATATATTTACAGCTTTCCCCCTCTCTTTTCTCTAATGGTGTCTGAAGTATTTGTGTGCTACTGGCAGAGAACTTTGAAGACCTAGTAATTGTTTTCTCCTTTTGTAATTTGTATCATTCCCTAAACTACATTTTTTCAGGTTGTTTTGCCAACCTCTTTGCCCTGTAGGAAGCAGGAGGCCACATCCCCCTTTGCTCACTCCCTTTGCAATGCTTGTTGTGTCTGAATAGGCTTCAGACTTGCCCTTGCAGCTTTTGGAATGCTGTGTGGGCTTGTTTCCCCTTCCCTGACACTTCTCTCCATCTGCTTTCTCAAGTTCTCACTGTTGGATTTACTGGTGAAAATCGTGTGTGGTTTTTTTCTGCCTTTAAATTACTGTTTAACAGCAAGTTGGTTTCATTCAGGTCCTCCTGCTTTGTGTTGGTGCCTGTGTCCGCACTAAGTCTTAGAATTGCTTTACGTCTCCCTTAAGCTTCTGTTTTGTCTAAAAACTGGTTCCAAGCTTTATCAGGAAGTAGCAACAAAAATGATTCTGTTTGTGATTGTGTACAATATTCATTCTCACTTATGTGATAGTGAAAAACATCTTTTTCTCAACTGTTGCAGCGAAAAAGATAAAAACTGAAAAAAAAATATTTTAAGTGGGTTTAGCCTATCTCTCTTTTTTTCTTGTTTTAGGAACAAATTCTCTCATAAGTGGAGGATGGGATACATCTTCCTGGGGCTTGAGTTCAAATGCAGAGCCCCAGAACCAGCCGATCTCGCCCACAGCAATCACCAAACCAGTGAGGAGAACAGTAGTGGATGAATCCGAAAACTTCTTCAGTGCCTTTCTCTCTCCGACAGATGTTCAGAGTATACAGAAAAATCCAGTGGTGTCCAAACCTCCAGCCAAATCCCAGCGACCCAAGGAGGAGGTGAAAAGCACTTTGAAGGAGTCCCAGCACCCCAGTCAGCTGGAAGTGCCAGTGACAACAGAGGCAGAAGTGAAGGATTCCTCTGTAGCTGTCCTGGACTTGAAAAACCTTGACATTCCCAAGGACAAATTAGAAGAGAATTCTGTACTTGAATCTGATGCCAAACATGAAGAAAGCACAAATGAAGTTACTGAGAAGAAGGTGTCTGCTCTAAATTTGGAAGAACCTGAAGATGTTCCTAGTGAAAAATGCAGCACAGGAGGGGATGGAGCAGCAGGTGCACCCGAGGGTACATCACAGCCTCTTGGTGCAGGCACCAAAGAGATGAGTTTGGAAGGGAAGGAGCGAAAGCCTGAGGACAGACAAAGCAATACCCCATCACCTCCCATTAGCACTTTCTCCTCAGGCACTTCCACAACTAGTGATATTGAAGTTCTGGATCATGAAAGTGTGATAAGTGAGAGCTCAGTGAGTTCAAGACAAGAAAATGCAGATTCCAAATCCAGCCTTCACCTCATGCAGACATCATTCCAGCTCTTATCCACGTCTGCCTGTGCGGATTATAATCGTTTAGATGACTTCCAAAAAATGACTGAGAGCTGTGGCTCCTCTGATGCCTTTGAAAGGATTGATTCATTCAGTGTACAGTCTTTGGACAGCAGAAGTGTGAGTGAAATAAATTCAGATGATGAGTTATCAGGCAGAGCTTCTGCCTCGGTGTCTGTCGCTGTCAGTCCTGCTGCTGCGCCCAAGGCGGAAACGGTTGATGCCCTGAAAAATAAATCTGAAATCTTAACTGACAGTCCTATTTTACATGCTGAGGAAGCTGAGATGGAGGAGAGTGGGAGAAGTGCAACTCCTGTTAACTCTGAGCAGCCAGATGTGCTGGTTGCTGCTGTGCAAGCTGCTGAGGAACAGGCTGTGGAAGAGGAGGCCGAGCCACCAAAGGATGCTCCGGAAAAAGTGGTAGAAGAGGACACTGAAAAGCAAGAGCTTCAAAAGGTAACTAAAACATCTATTGCAAACACCCTTTTAATTGCAAATGACACTCCTGCCATCTCCTTTTATTGGTATCAGCTTCACCTTATTTGAATGAATTAATTGATGATGAACTGACTCACCCTGTAGAGAACTGTCCTTGATATCCTGCAGTGGAACAGTAGTGGTGACATTTCTGCTCAGGCAGTTTTGAGTTTCACCTTATCCACCTGGTTGTCATTATTATGAACTGGGAGTAGTGCTGGAAAAGCCTTGAGGTCAATTAATTAAAACTGCACAGCTCAAAGGTGTGATTTTAATCCTTTGTTATAACTTGTTTTAACGTGGAAGTGGAAGAGATTCCTTGAAATAATTCGATTGGAATTACAATCTTAGAAGCCTTTAGTAATTAAGTATTGATCAAAAAGTATTTTGAAGCTTTTTTTTTCCACAGACTTGCAAACCATCGAAATTGGTTTGCATTATGCATGTTCTTTGAGGATGGCAGTAGTCAGTGTAAATAAGTCATTTTAATGTTTGTTTTTAGCAGAAATTATCTTTACCTTTAAAAAGAAGGTGGAGTAGACTTTTAATTATCTTTACCTTTAAAAAGAAGGTGAAGTGGACTTTATAAAGAAGAAGATAAGCAGTTATGGCTAATGAATAGATTGAATGCAATATGCATGGCTAGTTTAGATAGATGGAATGAGTAGAAGGTGTGACAAAGTATAACATTCAAGTGTTTGGAGGCCAAACTGGAGTTTGAAGCTATGTGTTCTGTCCTGTTCTGCCAGTGTAATGACTCATTTTTTTTCATTTTTTATAACTATTTTGGTTATTCTTTGTGGGAAACTGATAATGGCTCCTAAATGACTCATTTCATTTTTTATAACTATTTTGGTTACTCTTTGTGGGAAACTGATAATAGCTCCCGGCAAATTTTGTCTTTCATGACCATATAAATCTACACTTACAGAATCTGTTTGTTCATATTTGTATCTTTGCTTGTATGTTTGTTATTTCTATTTAACTTTGCAAACTCTAGTATTAAATCATTTTGATGATGTGAGCTAAGAATTTCATTTTTTATAACTATTTTGGTTACTCTTTGTGGGAAACTGATAATAGCTCCCGGCAAATTTTGTCTTTCATGACCATATAAATCTACACTTACAGAATCTGTTTGTTCATATTTGTATCTTTGCTTGTATGTTTGTTATTTCTATTTAACTTTGCAAACTCTAGTATTAAATCATTTTGATGATGTGAGCTAAGAACTCTTGACCTTGCCTGAAAGTTTTCTTCCCTCATCTGATGCTGTTCTGCTCTGTACTAATGTTTCACAGAAGAGACCTTCCCATAGATACTACTCTGAGATTCTGTAAAGGGAGGTATAAGGAGCATTGGGAATCTTAATGTAAGCTATAATTTGAGAGGCTTTCAGCTCTGTTTAAAAACTTCATTTATAATCAAATACAAGTGTTGATGGTTTTGTTGAGGAACTTAGCTGAGCCACATGTGGTTATTTAGTAAGATATCTACACCTGTAGAAAGTCTGTGTTTGCATATTGCTTAGTTCTAAATTCATGTGGCAGAAACATGATAATCCTCACTGACTTTTACATCAAATGCCTAAAAACTTTGACAAGTTGAACTTTAAATAGTCTTGGGAGGGAATGGTGGGGGGAAGGGGAGAACTTGCCACTCCTGTGTTTTAATTGTCACATTCTTCTGATCTTTATCTGTAAAAACATTGTCCAGATGATTGATTCATTAACTGAGAAACTGGAGAAGAGGGAAATACAGTTGCTAAGTGCCAGTAAAGAAAAGGCACGACTGGAAGAAGCTTATGATAACCTAAAAGAGTAAGTATGAAAATACACACTGGAGTGGGTGTAACTGTGACTTTGCTGTAATACCATGTTAGACAACACCTATAAACAAGGACCTTTCTGACTAGAGCAAAGGTTGCAAGGGATGTGCAGTGTTTGGGAATAACAATTGCATGTGCTGTGATGGTATTTTTGTAAAGATGTTATTTCCTGGGGACAGATTCTCTTTTGGGAAGAGGCTGGTGAAAGATTTTTCAGGAAGCAAGTAGTAGGAATGACAAATGTGTAGAGCCAGACTTGTTTCTTCATGCAGATCTTTGTAAGTAGTAGGAATGACAAATGTGTAGAGTCAGACTTGTTTCTTCATGCAGATCTTTATTTTAAGACTGGATTCAGCTGTTAAGGGAGACTGACTCCTGTTTGCTAAGTAACTTGCTGACTAAAACAGTGAA